CCCCCCCTGGCCTGGGCCGTAGCCACTCAATATGTGTTTTATCGGTGGCCTCCTGCACTGCCCCCTACTGGGGATCGAGCCCGAAGCCTGGGCATGTGCCCTAACCGGGCATTGAACTGGCAACCTTTTGGTGCACCAGTCGATGCCCAAACAACTGAGCCACAGTGGCCTGGGCCGCCCTGGTAACTCCTAAGCAACTCCTGGGTTGCACCTACATCTTCTGTGTCCTTTTATCCAAAAATTGTGCCTACTCACTTTTTTCTCCTTACTTTTCTGAGGACATGGCGTACGTACCACAAAATGCACACACTCTCCATGAACAGCCCAGTGAAAGTTTGTATATGACTTTCATGAAGCTGTCGCCCAGATCAGGAAAATGCAGACCATTTTGAAAGGCTCACCCTTTTTTTTTTTTTTATGTTTTTATTGATTTTAGAGAGAGGAAGGGAGAGGGAGAGAGAGAGAGAAACATCAGTGATGAGAGAGTCATTGATCGGCTGCCTCCTGCACGCCCCTGACTGGGGATCAAGCCCACAACCTGGGCATGTGCCCTGAGCAGGAATCAAACTGTGACCCCCTGGTTCATAGGTTGATGCTCAACCACTGAGCCACACCGGCCCAGCTGAAAGGCTCACTCTTGCCGTGTCTCAAGAACAAGCACCCACTGCACCCCCACTCCAGATCTATTTTGCCTCTTCTTGAGCTTCAGAGAAGCAGAACTATAAACTCCTGTGTCTGGCGCCCGTGGCTCAATATGATGTCCGCAGGATCCTTCCGTGTCGTTGCACGTGGCCGCGGTGCAGGTGTGTGTCCCTGTTTTGCGTTTCATTGTAGGAATGACCACAATTTACCCATGTTGCTACTGATGACATTTGGGTTGTTTCCAGCTGAGGGCTCTTATGAATAAAAGGTTTCTTTTGAATATGAATCTTACTCTAAAGGGAAGGACCTTCCCTTCGAGCTTTTCCAAAGGAGGCCCGGAGTTATGCTTAGAGGTCATTTTTGTCCGTCCCGTGGGGGCACAGAGGCCTCCGAAGGCCCGGCCCTCCCGCCGCCTCTCACAGACTTGGAGGCAGATGCCTGGTCCCAGCAGAGCACCTGGCAGCCTCCCGAACTGGGGGAGGCTCGGATCTGCTCGGACATGTTAAGAAAGAGGGCATTTCACAAGCATTTGTCTGAACGCATCTGCGAACCTCCAAATGTTGAGTAAAAAATGAAAAGGCGGCCAAGGAACCCGTCGATTCACCTTTATGTCGATTGCGGGGAGTGCTGAAAACTTGTTTTTCTTAAGTTGATTTCAAAAGAACTAACGCTGGCCGGGTAGCTCAGCTGGTTGGAGCTTGGTCCGGATGCCCCAAGGTTGGGGGTTTGACCCTCGGTCAGGACACGTACAAGACTCAGCCGAGGAGTGCATCCTTAAATGGAACAGCAAATCGATGTTTCGATCTCCCCCCCAACACACCTTTCCTCTCTCTCTCAAATAATTTTAAAAAAAAGAAAAAGTGTTAAAAATGTAGAGAAGGCTAGGATTTCCATTTTCCCATTTCCTCAGCGGG